CAGCACAAGTCTATCTCTCGTAAGCCTCATGGACTACTACAGCCTTTGCCTGTCCCTGTGGCTCCTTGAGAGAGTGTGTCCATGGTCTTCATTGTTGCACTGCCCAAAACAGAGGGGGGATATGACGCGGTGTTGGTTCTGGTCGACCGCCTGACGACAAGTCGGGTGTCGGCTTCCTCAAAGCCGGAAAAAGGGTGGGGGCCCCCTGCATCCATATAGGCTGGTAGCTTGGGTAGTGTCAACGTGGTGGGAGCTATGCTTGTTGCATCAGTGCTGATGCTGTGGGAGCTATGCTCGTCAGAGCGCGGGAGGCAGGAAGCAGGGACTCATAACCTGTTGAAGAGACGGTGTCTCTCTGGAACCTAGCAGACACGGCTAAAGAGTCATTGGCCGTTACACCGTTACACGCAGTCTGGAGGTCCGCGACCTGCCACCGACAGCCCCTTGCTTGGGTGTAAGCGTATGAGTCTGAGGTGCCGTTACCGGCACACAGCAGGGGCACAGCAGGGGCACACCGCCAAGTCCGCGGTCCAGGCTGGATGCTCAACGCTGAGCAGGCACAATCGCAGCTTGCCAGCCTTCAGCCTGTTGGCTTTGCTGTCTGGTGCTGCAGCCATAACACACACGGAAAACAGCGCCGTACAGCACTGTGGCGCCCCTTCAGGCATTGACCCGCCTGCTCACGCGCCCTTGGCCCCCCCCTCAAAGCCTAGCTTGACACACTTCCCAAAAGCCCGCAGCACTTTCCGGTGCTGTCTGTGATGTTTATCCCCGAAGCGCCAGAGGCTTCGGCAATCCACCCCACAGCCGCACGTGGCACACTGCAACTCTTCGGAGGCCCCAAGCATTGGCCAAAGTAATTGTACAAACGAGCAGCTTGCGTACTTCATAGAGAAACAAAAGCAAGTTTGTCGGCCTGCTGGTGGCAAGTCGGAATGCCCTTGCGGGCAAATGGTAAAACACAAGCTGGGTGTTCGAGTTATCATACACTGTCATCTCAGGATTCAAATATGAGATACGCGGCACCTTTTGAGATTAAATTTAGCCCGAGAGGTGTTGATGTGACTTTGAGCTCGGTCAATGGATGCAGCCACAGTTGTTTGTGCTCATATGATTTTTGTTGGCTACAGGCGAGATACCTTGCAAAAAAATGCTATATAGCACCAATAATGCGTTTCAGCCGGGCGAGATATTATGTTTGGTCCGTTACACACACACGGCCACATGGCCACACGTGTGGCCACACGGACATGGGCAATCCTACAGAGCGGGGCCCCCCTGGGCGCTTCACGCTGGGGCCCCGCCCAAAAATGGTTCACCTTGCACCCACCACGTCATCCTGCACTGCAGAGCACACTGCATGTTTATTCTTTGATAACGTTGTGCTTCTGCAAGGTGTTCCCAAGTCTGTCGTGTCTGATCGTGGCAGTCAGTTTAATAGTAAATTTTGGGTATGCGCATAAACCTCTCTACTGTCTACCACCCCCAGTCCGGTGGTCAGACAGAGTGTACCAAAAGAGCTTTAGGTGATATGTTGCGTAATTTCGCGGGCCGAACACCCTCTGCTTGGGATACCTACTTGACGGAAGCCGAGTTAATCCCTCGACTGGTCAAAGCCCTTTCTTCCTTAATTATGGGTACAATCCTCTTTGGCGTGAGCTTGACGTTAATGTACCTGCGGCTAAAACCTTTGCCAAGTCATTCGTATCCCGTCTGACTGATGCTAAGGCTTGTCTGGACTCAGCATAACAGCGCACTGCAGACTACTACAACAAGTCAAAACGAGACATCACCAAGGGCCAGCTGGTCATGCTGAGCACCAAGAACCTGCGTTCTCTGGCCGAAGGGCCCCATACGCTGTTGCCTCGCTGGGTTCGGCCTTATGCGGTTGTGTGCATGGTGGGTTCGGTTGCTGTACAACTCGAACTGTCTTCTGAAATGCGTGTTCATCCTACCTTCCACGTGTCTTTGGTCCGTCCATATCATGGGTCTGTACCCATTCCGGCAGCGCCTGTGCCTCCTACTGCTACAGAGGCTGCGCTCACCACTTGGTTGTCTGGTAAGCAAACCATGTATGCCGTTGAACGTATTTAGGACTATCGGACCCGGCGCGTGGGTAAGGCTAGGCGCAAGCACACTGTTCACGAGTACTTAGTCAAGTGGGTAGGGTAATCGTCCGAACACAATAGCTGGGAACCAGCGCGCAACTTCACCCCGGATCTTAGACCGTTGCTTGATGGGGTTCGTCTGCATGCTCAGTCCAAGGTTGCAGCGCGTTAGCAGGTATGGCCAATCTTGTTTTGCACAGTGATCCATATGCAACGGGACGTCGCATCTAGGGGGGAAAATAGTAGTTGTATCCTGTAAATCCTGTAAAGCTTTCTGCACGGTTTGCGGCTCCGAATCCTAACTATCGGCAGTTAGCTCGTCCGGTCCCATTTATTGAACTTCACTGTTACTAACTAATGCCCGCATATATCCGCTGCCAGTGATTACAGGTCTATCTAATATTGATATTAGTTTACTTGCGGCTACTGTTAGCTGCGGCGGCTAAAGCGACTACTGATAGTCGTGCGCCACCTGAATGCCGCACCGCTGCGGAAGTCCGTACCTGCGTATGGGCGGGGGTTTTACCTGTGTAAAGCTGGGACCTGCGTCCCTGTTTCGTCTGACTGAGCGAGAGTAGTTCCTGCGAGCTATGACTTCTGGATACGCGTCGCCCTGTCGTACTGGGGACTTATCGGCGCGAGGCCCAAGTGGAGTCACTGATGACTATTTATCCAAGGCACTTGTCTCATTCGGTATCTTTCGAGACCACCATTGTTGTGGTTGTGTCGTCTGAAGCTTACAACAGGTTAACAGTGAGAGCAACAGGGCTAGGGAGTGTGTCGTAACAGCTATTGAGGATGAGAAACATTTTTTGATAGAATGCCCGGCGATTGTGTCTGCACGACAGAAGCTCTGGGACCTCGGTGTGCCCGTCAACGCGGATATTCGTGATAGCATCCAAGTGGATGATCAGCGTGGCCTTGCGAAGGCAATTTCTGAGATGTTTCGCTCACGGTTTGAGCACCTAGCTACCTAACTTTCTCTGCGAGAATAGGCAAATGTGCTGACAAGTTTGACGGTCCTTTTTTGGGGCGAGGCCCCGGGCGCGAAGCGCCATTCGGGGGGCCGAGCCAGGGTTGCTACCGCATTGCGTATTAATACGCCTGGAATACACGCGTATTATTACGCCGAATACGCGCAGAAGTTTGATGTTTTTAAGCCGGCGTATTGCTGGCGTGTTCCTGGCGTAATAAATTTCCGGTTCCTGTTGTACAGGCCACCAAGTATCATGGAAACCGTGTTCTCAAGCGAAAACCTGTGTAAGCCACCACTGTGAACATCGTTAGATTGTCCTGATATCATCTCTACTTGATCACAAGCAAGTGGGATCCATTGCTCATGCCTTTTTACGGCAGGAGATAACCGATGCCCTGACCAACCCGGAATGGGAGGGTTGGGGAATCCCAATGTTACGACTGTTTTTGGGCGGGGCCCCAGCGCGAAGCGCCCAGGGGGGCCCCGACCTGTAGGATTGCCCATGTCCGTGTGTGTGTGTGTGTGTGTGTGTGTGTGTGTGTGTGTGTGTGTGTGTGTGTGTGTGTGTGTGTGTGTGTGTGTGTGTGTGTGTGTGTGTAACGGACCAAACATAATATCTCGCCCAGCTGAAACGCGTTATAGGTACTATACAGCATTCTCTATTGCAAGGTATCTCGCATGTAGCCAACAAAAATCGTATGAGCACAAACAAGTTTGGCTGCCTCAATTGACCGAGGCCAAAGTCACATCAACGCCTCTCGCGCTAAATTTCATCTCAAAAGGTACCGCGTATCTCATATTTGAATTCTTAGATGACGGCGTATGATAACTCGAACTCCCAGGCCTTGAGTGTGTAACGGACCAAACATAATATTTCACCCGGCTGAAACGCGTTATCGGTACTATACAGCATTCTCTATTGCAAGGTATCTCGCATGTAGCCAACAAAAATCGTATGAGCACAAACAAGTTTGGCTGCCTCAATTGACCGAGGCCAAAGTCACATCAACGCCTCTCGCGCTAAATTTCATCCCAAAAGCTGCCGCGTATCTCACAATGGAATTCTGAGATGACGGCGTATGATAACTTGAACACCCAGCTTGTGTTACCATTTGCCGGCATGGGCAATCCGACTTGCCACCAGCAGGCCAACATAATTTGCTTTCATTTCTCTATGAAATACACAAGCTCCTTGTTTGTACATTTACTTTGGCCAATGCACGGGGCCTCCGAAGAGTTGCAGCGTGCCGCTCTTACTTATCTGTTTAATTATTACAAAGCCATGCGGCAGTGGGGTGCTTTCCTGTAGCCGCTGGTGCTTCAAGACCTAAACATCACAGACAGCACCGAACTTCATATGTTAAGCAACGGCTCCGTTTGCGGTCTGCCGTACTGTCCATGCGGCATGCACCCGGATGTCGATGTGGCATGCACCCGGATGTCGATTTCCTGTAGCCGCTGGTGCTTCAAGACCAAAACATCACAGACAGCACCGAACTTCATATGTTAAGCAACGGCTCCGTTTGCGGTCTGCCGTACTGTCCATGCGGCATGCACCCGGATGTCGATGTGGCATGCACCCGGGATGGACGCAGGCGATGCTCCGAATCTGCCGGTGCCTGTGCGACGGAATAGTCCCGAAATCGCTCGAAATATATACATTTCTGACACAAACACAAACACAAACACAAACACGTGCGTATTCAGAAATCGATATCTCTTGCCGACGCGCCAAAAAACAACTGCACTGTGAATGCGCCATGCCTAAAATCTCCACAAGGCGCGCTAACCGAGTCCCCTGCAGCGGAGGTGATGGTGGAGCTGGCTGCTCGGCCGGCTGCACGGCTGCAGCTGGCTCATCACAGCTCCGGTGCCCAGTCGCCAGGACACAACCTCTGGCTTCTGCTGCCGTCCCTATGGCACCCGACGCCCCCAGGGTAGCACGACGTGCACAGCATTGCGCCGTTCAGACACCCTGGTATGACCAGGGCTCAGCTGGCGGCGAGCGCGTGGGCGTCACGGAGACGGACAACACTGCTGGCTGCAGCGGGGAGTACCACGGGCCTGCTCCTCTGCACCACACAGTAGAGGATTACCTTTGGCAGCAGGCAGCAGCAAATATCCAGGGTGCAGCCCTACTGCAACAGCTGCAGGCGCAGCAGCGGCAGCTGTGCCATCTTGGTCTGCCAGGCTCCCAGTCACCAGCCCACAACCTTGCAGCAACGCCTGATGGGTCTGATGCTACAAGCAACAATCCAGCGACAATCGGCGACGAGCCTGATGGGGGTGCAGTGAAGGACGAGCCTGATGGGGGTGGCGACGAGCCTGATGGGGGTGCAGTGAAGGAGGGTTCGCTACAAAGCAAGGACACGGAACAGGGGAACATGGGGCTGAGAAGCGATGCAGCAGAGCACGGTGGGGAGTGACACGGACGCAGCCAGTGCTATTAAGATGCAGTGGGAGTTTAAATGAAGAGTTGAAGATGCATGGGAGTTATAAGGAAGAGGGTCGGAGTAGGATATCCAATAGGGATGGACCTGCTTCCACTGGCTGCATGTGTATGCCTGACCATAGTTGAAGTGCCCAGGTGGTCCCCATCCTGTAGGATTGCCCATGTCCATGTGGCTATGTGTGTGTATATGTGTAACAGACCAAACATGATATCTCGCCCAGCTGAACTGTGTTATTGGTACTATACTGTATTCTCTGTTGCAAGGAATCTCGCATAAAATTCGTATGAACTGATCGATTGACTGAGCTCAAAGTCACATCAACACCTCTCGGGCTAAATTTCATCTCAAAAGGTGCCGTGTATCTCATAATTGATTTCGAGATGACAGCGTATGATAACTTGAACACCCAGCTTGTGTTACCATTTGCCCACATGGGCCTTCCGACTTGCCACCACCAAATTTGCTTTCATTTCTGTATGAAATACACAAGCTGCTTGTCTGTACATTTACTTTGGCCAATGCACGGGGCCTCCGAAGAGTTGCAGCGTGCCGTGATGAAGCTTGTGGCAGTAGAGTGCTTCCTGTAGCCGCATGTAGACCACATACAGGTCAGCAACCGATGGGTGTGCCACGGAATAGTCCCGAAATCGCTCGAAAATACATTCGTTACACAAACACTACCTCCCACCATGTTGACATTACCCATCAATTGTCACACTTGCCACCCTTGCTACCGGCCTGTACGGATGCAGAGGGGCCCCGCCCTTTTTCCGGCTTCAAGGAAGCCGACACCCAATCTTGTCCTTCTTGGAGTGCAATATTTGGAGCGGAATACCGCAAGAAGTCATGGGGGTAAAGGAGCGTGTTGACTGGTGGTTGAGTAGACCTCTCCCCTAAGGAGCGGTGACAACGGCACTAAGGGAGCGTTTGATGAGCGGCTGGGACCATGCGCGTCTGACTGTCTTGCCAGAGGAGTACCCATCAGATGTGAAGCAACCGGGGAGTGCAAATGGTGAAGTATAAGCACTGGATGGGGCTGCCCTTTTCGGGAGCCGCAGCCACCATGTGGCCAACACATGCTAAGGTTTTCATTCCTCGTTTAGCACATCGTAAGATAATGCAGTTTCGTTTATGTTGCTGGGCTTTGGAGGCAAACAGAGCACGAAGGGGCAAGTACCATGTCCCCAGGGGGCAGCGGTTTTGCCAGTGTTGTGGTACTAATAGCCGAATTGAGGATGAAAAACACGTGTTATTGGAATGCCCAGCCTATAATGATATTCGTGTTGAAGAGGGATTCGATCATCAACAGAGCATGTTGGAGGCCATGCAATGGGAACCCGCGCATCTGGCGAGGATGTTGGAACGTATGTGGGCTCACTCAGTTGGACGCTAGTCTGGGCTGATGTGCGGTGTTTCCTTTTCTCCGTGGCTTTTAGGCGTTGAAGTATTGCCCTTGGGCCTTCGGCTCGTATGGGTAGTCTTACAGGTATGGGGTTATGCACCCCCAACCATGTCACACACACACACACACACACACACACACACACACACACACACACACACACACACACACACACACACACAAGCAAGGTGACCTTGTTACATCTCGGGAAATGGACAATGAGCGGGAACCCAAAAAGCGCAAACCTGGCCCCAAAGTGGGAATAGTATACCAATACTTCAAAGGAGTAGGGAGGTATGACGAGACTTCCTGGCGCCAAGCTCGTGAGTGCCTAGCTTGTGGTGAAGTGATCCCAGCTTTCAAGGTCAAAGCGGAAGAGCTAGCCATCCATGTAGCCGGTGCCCAGCGATCTCTCCAGAAGCCCGCGCAGATTACCACACGCAGCGCGCCCTCGAGTTGGCCGCCAAAACCGCAGTTGATGCTTGGGAGACAGGCGACGACACCCAGTCGACGCCATCAGTGTCGGCAGGCAGTGCGGCTGCCAGCAGCAAAGGTGGAACAGCTGCAGATTCGCGTCTGTTGCGGCAGAGCGGGAACGGGGGCAGCAAGACGCAGACGTCCATACAGCGGTTTGCCGACGCGGTAGAGACCCTGCTGAGGGAGCACTTCCCTTGGTACAACTGGACGAAGAACCCACTCGAGTTCGCCCCGGGGAGCAGGCCTTGGGGGACTAAGGGGGTTATCTATTTCGTGATTAGGGAGGCTGAGTTTCCGTTTAATTCTTTTTAGGATCTGGTCAGGATACCAGGTGGGGGAATGGGGAGGAAGGTTAGGGCAGCATTGATGTTGCGGTGGTGCGTGTCCGTTGTCGCGGTGTTGGCTGCTGGGGAGGGGGGCCCGGTTACGGTCGGCCAGAGTTGTACCACGCGAGAGAGTATACACGGAACAATTCTTTACATTCGTGGTCGATTATCTCATTACCATCGATAGTTATTGTTCTTGGTATAAGTTCTGCGTGGCGGAAGAGGTCCATGGTGGAGTCAACAGTTGGTCGTGCCGCGTCCGAGCAGTGCTAAACTATTCAAATAATAATAGGGTTCGCTTTAGGGTCGTAAAATCTTACGATGGTGTAAGGTGCTGCGCCCCTACTTGATGGACGGTGATGACCTGGGATAAAGCTATCTTACAAGCTGACCAGGAATGGAGTTGGGCCGCTGGCGACCCGCCAGATTCCGTTGGATGCTGGTGGTAGGTGCGGAACCTGAGCGATCCACTGAGAAGTTGACTAGGGTTTGGACTGGATGAGGGTGCCCCGAAATACCGGGGAAGGCAGGGTTTCGCAGGGTAGCTGCCACGGGCGAACATATACCCCCCTGTTTCACACATCAGCTTTGCCGCTGCATTCCGACTTCAAAATGTGCAATTGGAACGATCCCCGAATGCGTTCTGGCTGGGAGCGGACAACAATTGGTCCATAAAGCACGGGCACTTTGGCGCGCCTTGAACTGCCAGCCAGCAGACCGAAGGGCCGGCGTCGAACATGGATGTAACGGTAGTACCACCTACGTATCGGGCAGTCCCGACACATGGATTTGGGGCAGCAGCGGCAACACACGTTGCCGCAATTACACTCCTGCTTTGTGTGTAAGTTATTCTACGGATTGCCGCATCATGAGAAGGCTAACTGTTCAGTCAATAATGATTATGCTATGGCGGCTGCACGCTTGCGATGATCCAGACAGGTCTACACCGCCATAGCAAGTCTGCCGACCTTTATTGTTTGAGGATCTCAATAACAAGTGTGTACTCCAAACGTGGCGGCGTTCTTGTGCTTGCACTCCTATGCCGTACGGACTGCCCTGCGAACTATAGGGGGGTCAAGTGGCTGCACCGAGGCCGAGCCCCTTTTCGGCTTTGAAAAGCCGCCCCCCTAGCCTTGATAAACATTCGTCCTCCGCTTGCGTAAAACTGTTCTGTCTGGCTTTTCTTTTTTTCTGTCATCGGCGCTGTTAAAGCGGTTCATCTGAGCCGTACGGGTTAGTCTGAGCCGTACGAGCTCGATGAAGCTTGTAACATCCATCCATGCTATCAAGGCCGCAGACCTGCTGATAACTTTCAAACTGGACATTAACTTCCGAGCGGGAAAATTCATAGTCAGCCATTTTCCTTCCTCAAGGTCCTTCGCTGACTTCTGTATTTTCCTTTATCCACAGCCGCAAATAGCCCGCTGACCAGTGGAATTCCGAGCAGGACCGGTCGAATTGCCCATACCGTAGTGCTACTTATAGTTCGTGATCGCTTTGTTCGGGGAGGGGTCAAAAAACTTTCTGAAATTTGTACGTGCTCTTTGAATTTCGGGGAAGGCCGGACCAGATTTTGCGGGCATGATACAAATTTCGGGGCCCCTTCCAAAGTTTCGGCGCTTTTTGGGCGGGGCCCCAGCGCGAAGCGCCCAGGGGGGCCCCGACCTGTAGGATTGCCCATGTCCGTGTGTGTGTGTGTGTGTGTGTGTGTGTGTGTGTGTGTGTGTGTGTGTGTGTGTGTGTGTGTGTGTGTGTGTGTGTGTGTGTGTGTGTCTGTAACGGACCAAACATAATATCTCGCCTGGCTGAAACGCGTTATAGGTACTATACAGCATCCTCTATTGCAAGGTATTTCGCATGTAGCCTACAAAAATCGTATGAGCACAAACAAGTTTGGCTGCCTCAATTGACCGAGGCCAAAGTCACATCAACGCCTCTCGCGCTAAATTTCATCTCAAAAGGTACCGCGTATCTCATATTTGAATTCTTAGATGACGGCGTATGATAACTCGAACTCCCAGGCCTTGAGTGTGTAACGGACCAAACATAATATTTCACCCGGCTGAAACGCGTTATCGGTACTATACAGCATTCTCTATTGCAAGGTATCTCGCATGTAGCCAACAAAGATCGTATGAGCACAAACAAGTTTGGCTGCCCCCATTGACCGAGCTCAAAGTCACATCAACGCCTCTCAGGCTAATTTTCATCTCAAAAGGTGCCGTGTATCTCATAATTGAATTCTAAGATGATGGTGTATGATAACTCGAACACCCAGCTTGTGTTACCAATTGCCGGCATGGGCAATCCGACTTGCCACCAGCAGGCCAACATAATTTGCTTTCATTTCTCTATGAAATACACAAGCTCCTTGTTTGTACATTTACTTTGGCCAATGCACGGGGCCTCCTGAGACTTGCGGTGTGCCACGATGAAGCCCGCGGCTGTGGGGCAGATTGCTGAGGCCGCTGGCGCTTCGGGGATAAACATCACAGACAGCACCGAAATTCACCCAGCTTTCGTTACCATTTGCCCGCACGGGCATTCCGACTTGCGGTCTGCCGCACTGTCCATGCGGCATGCACCCGGAATGGATGCGATTCGCGTGGAGCCCGCAGGCGGTGCTGACGATTCCGCCGGTGCAAGCTTAGCTCTCACACCATCAGCACTGCTGCAACAAAGCACATCTCCCACCGCGTTGACACTACCCATCAATTGTCACACGTGCCACCCTTGCTACCGGCCTGTACGGATGCAGAGGGGCCCCGCCCTTTTTCCGGCTTCCTTGAAGCCGACACCCAACTTGTTTCCCGTGAAGTTGCTCTTACAGCGGGTGTGCGACAGGGATGTCTATTGGCACCGTTGCTATACTTGTTTGCCGCGCAGGCGTTACTATGTTGGTTACAGTACAACCGAGTGGGGATTCATTTACCCCAAAATAATTCAGAAATGGTTACAGCTGTGCAATTTGCGGATGATACGGAAGTTGTTTTAGAAGGAATCCAAGCAATTCCGGCTTTCCTTGACTGTATGAGGGTGTACGCACAGGCTTCTGGACAGCAACTTAACCTGGATAAGGTTGAGCTGTTACCTCTCGGCACCCACCCACATCATATAACAATAAATCATGACATGAAGGTCGTACATATGGCAACGGCTCTCAATCTACCTTTTACGGATGTGGGAGAAACCACAGTCAGGGACTGGGATGTGCAACTAGACAAAGTCTGGGCTCGGTTTCGACGCATTTCTGTGTTAAACCTTTCCATTTTTGGGCGTGCACATGCAGCGGCTGCATATGGGCTGCATCGTTTTACGTGGCATATGGAACACGGGGGGTTTCCCCCAGAAGCTAAACTCATGAATATTGAGGCTAAAGCGGCCAAGCTTATTGATAGGAACCTCGGACCGGTCGCACAAGACAGACGACTCACCGGGGTTCCTAAATATTTGTTATATGGCCATCCAACTTTGGGGCGGTTTTGGGGCATTAGCAGTACGACAACATGTACAAGCGCGATGGGCGTGCTGGGCAGTGCGTTTTGTGAGAGCATTACTCCGACCAGTCTTAGTGCGTCCGCCTTGGGTGATGGTCATGCACTCTTTCCTACATAGCCTTTACCCCAATTACAATCCTATGTGTATTTTTACGTCCCAGGTGGGAGTGCCTTGGTTTGGATTAATCGTTTTACCGCCAGATGTTCAGCGCATTGTGACAGTGTTGGCATACCTTCCCCCAGTGGAAGATGTTGATGATCACCCGTTAGTTCCTAATGCGTGGTGTTGGAATTTGCCATTGTGGGGAAACCCTGTTCTTCCAGAAATAAGGTTGAATGTCCAGTTAGATAACATCCGCCCGGGACTAGAATTTCGACACCAAGCCCTCCTGGGCTGTAAAGCATTGCATACGTTGGGGGATGTTCTTCGCGCGCGCGAGGCCTTGGATGGAGTTATGGATGCAACGGACCAAGCAGGCCTAGCAATACGCAAGGCTTGGCATCAAATAGTGGATCAATACCTCCAACCGCAAACCCCACTAGCTAAATCCCTGTGCACCTATCGTAAATGGCAGGAATGTATGGATGCTATTGGCGCTCTTTTAGCTGATATCCCAGCGAATTGGAGACAGGCGGCTAGTCTTTTGTTGCCGCTGAGTGTAGAATCTAGGGAAGCGATGGTGCCCCCTATTGAGTCGGTTACCCAAACCCTAGTGTCGAGGCTTGGTTGGAGATGGGGTGTAGGGCCTCCAATCTGATTCCAACATTTATCCGTTAAAATAGCGACTAATATGCAACTTTCACCTTTTTCGATGGCTCGCCGTGTGGCCCATACCCTTTTCATCAAAGAGGCGACGGGTTCTTCTGAGATATTGGATGAAGCTATTCTTCTTTTGCAACGGACATTCCATCGTTTATGGTTTCATTTACGGTGGGAAAATGAACAAAAAGAGGTTTGGTGGCGTCTCGCGGTTGATGGGGTGCCTATGTTAGGAAATTCCCATCTTAGGATGTCGCGCCCAACAATATGTGGTTGTGGAGGTTATCCAATAGGTTCAGTGGGAGGTGTATCCCCTCGCTATCATCATTTCTGGGCCTGTCCGGTGGCACAGGCAGTAGCAGATCAACTTACTCTTTCAATAGGATTGCCAGTCTCAAGGGAGCAACTTTGGCTTATCCAAGCCCCACAATCAGTGCAACAATGTGTTTGGGATGTTGTGGCTCTTGCTGCGATGTCAGCCATGGAGCATGGGAGACGTTATATGGCTGCAAACATGAAAACCAACCCGGCACTGTTACCTGGCCCTTCCCTTACGGAAGAAGCAATTTGTCGAGTTATTGTTGACTTTTGGGGCCGCATTCAGGGTTTCGCAGCTTTGGGAATTCCACGGAAAGGTTGGGATTCTGTTGGCGCACATCACCCCTTCTTGAGAATTATATCTGGCAAATTGCTGTGCTCGCGAGAGCGGTTACCGATGAGCGGTTAATT